TAACAATGGTGGGTGTTATACATTTTTCGTATTTCTCTTATCGGAATGGAGACTAATCCCTATATGACAGCTGACTGAAGGAATATAAGGAGATGTTTTGCAACTACGACATTCTGAGCAATGGTAAGTTATTTTATCGTGACTATCACTTAAAGTTTGATTCTTTCTTTTAATGATCGAAAAACAATGCATTTTTCAGAGGTACATCGTAGTTGCATTCTGCATTTACCTATCGAATGTAGCCTTTGCATCCGAAGCGGATGCGCTCGGTTGGTGTTCATTTCTATAACACATTTGAGAGCTTGTAAGTAACTGATCAAATACTTTTACAGCTGCTATAAAGAATGAGAAAATCCCACTAGAGGCACAGGTGCTGAGTGGTGAGGAATTGGTCATATATCTGAAAAAGAACCAGAACCTCTTCGAGGTAATGCCTTGGTACCCGACATACAACTCATCCGCTATTCACTCAATATTTGTTTGCAGGTCGAAATAACGCCACACAGCCACAATATACAGCACAAATTAATGGATCTTAGATTCGTCAACCGGAATAGAAAGCCTGTTGTTGAAGAGGCGAGGGACGAAGGCGAAGACATCCCAAAATAGTTGGTCATCATACTACTGAAAAAGTGCCAAAACTACCACTACTCATGGCGTCCTCAAATGTTGGAACAAATACATCTGCTAAGGGAAATATGAGCGCTCGAAGGCGCAGCACAAACGGAAAACGCGTAGCAGAAATTAAGAATGCTCAGCCAGTTGAGAGAGATGCTAGCGCAATAACGGCTTTGATTCGTATTATGCAACAGTAGTAAGCGCTCTTTTGCAGTTTCGACGCTCGAACTAAATGGCCCTACTGCCACTCGCTCTTCCATATCCGTGACCAAGCCAACTGCGGTGAGCAATCCCTTTGGTCCACTACTCAACGGTTAGAAGACAGGACGACTTTACAGATGATTAGGCAAAACTTAAAATTTTTAGGTGCTGGCTGGGCAGTTGCGGCGGCATCTGCCCTTTCAGATCGTATTTGCATTGCAAGCAAAGGAAAAAAGCAGGTGCAACTAAGGACTTATGCGAATTCCGCTCTAAAGTAATACGAAAAATTCCAGGTGCATATCTCGTCGGTCGACTTTATCTCATGCTGTTATTCATGCGGTTATGGGTAAGACTTTATAACTTTTAGAAGATTGCTCTTGTTGAGATTCATGTACTACCGCATCACCGTTCTCCAGATGAATTCAAGAATGAGTTCAAGAGAGCACTGTTCCTCAGTGGTTATAACATAGCGTTTCAGATGTGACGGTGGATGGCCATTTGAAGCTTTCGAGTATTTCTCAGGGCAGGGTGCCGTCACCGGAGGAGACTACGGTTCCAAGG